TGCTGAGTATGAAATGGGTACTCCTTTGTTGTTCAGCAACGGCACACCGACACTCACGGACAGAACGGACTCGAGTCTCAGGGTCTTTTCGGGTATTTAATTGCAAATTCAACAGGAGAGAGAGGGTTCAGGATTTGTAGGATGCCCTGTGGATTCTTCTGAGGACAGCTTTCTCCACTAGCAACAGCTAAGGCCGATAGCACTGTGATCTGGTCCCAGGGACCAATAGTATTAGCGACACTGCGAACAGCCAGGAGGGTCCAGTAACTTATAATGAGGAGGTTAGCTATCTCTGGACTCAGGTAAGGACCGCTGGCTTCTTCTAGAACAGATACCTGGAATAGGGCGAGGGATCTCTCTTGTGGGTCCCAGACGGACGCTCTCACCAGCTCCTCTGCGGTACCCCTCGACAAGAAGACTCTCCCTCCGACCCAGCTTCCATCAGGTATTTTCCTCTTCAGGATCTGGAATCTCTGTGCCCTCAGCATCTGCAACTGCCAAGGAGCACTCCAGGTTAGTGGTAGTATCCTCTTAGAACAAGGCACCCAACACCTGCCACGTGTATGGGGCCCAAGCAAAGTTCCTAGGGAGTCCTAGACCTGCAGTCCCCCAGCACCTGCCATGTGCTGAGGCCCAGGCCATTTGCTTGCATCACACAGACCTCCTAGGGTGAGACCCCAGGAGGGGAAAAGACCTCTGCACAGTGTCCCCAGACCTTTTATTACCTGCCCTCAACCATGCCTCTGAGCCATCCTACTCAGGGATTGGCTAGGGTCAGGTGCATAGTCATAATCTGAGGATGGATCCTCCCTCACTGTATGCCAAGGCTCCCTTCTCCTCAGCAACAGGAGGAGCAATCAATCCAGCAGATTCAGGGACACCTATAGAATGCACAGCTCTGTATAATCAGTATCTAGACTGGTTACAGTCCAGGTATCTCTAAATTGAATAGCGACATTTTAGAGGGCGCTACACTGTACTGTCTTTACCTTTGCTACCCACGCATTCACAGCTCAGGGCAGGGAGGTGACCAGGCTGTATTACTTAACTTGTCTTTGACTTGTCTCTGTGTCTAGTAGGGATGTGAATGTCTCAGGATTGGATTGACGGAAATATAAATCCTTTGCAGTTAAAACAGCTCCTATATATGTATGTCAAGAATATTTTTAGCATTGAAGTTTAGCTTTAACATACTTCTTCAAGCAGAGGTCTGCGTCAAAATGATGAGGCCTCCACTAATACCCCTTGCAAGCACCAGGGTTGCCGTATAACCAAGCCAATGCATGCTCACGGGTAATAATATGTTATAAAAATAGATGGAAAGTGGCGCATTTCTTTCTCGCCGTTCATTTTGACCCAATCGAACGTGTCTCCAGCAGTGGCGGTGATTATAAGCTGCTCCAGAATTGATGGAAACGAGCCGCCTTTACAGTGCTCTTCTCTTCAGACAAGGCTTCACTATCTCTTCTCATTAAGCCCACTGTCACCTGGGGCTCCTTCACCCATCTGCCAGAGCAACACCGCCAGTTAATAATACACTTTATGCTTTGCTGGCACCTGGCCGTTGAGAAGTAGCAGCTCACCAGCACAGCAGCTCTACAGAATATAAAGGGGAAAATGAAGTTTTCCTCCGCTTCCATGTGTTCGGCTTAAATGCACTTTCGCAGATGAGCGTGTCAGTGAATATGTCTGAGCGGTCTGCCAGTCAGTTCTTCGGCATCAGAGAGAATCAGAGAGAAATGTATAACATAAAACTATGATCATTTTCCATCAAGTTGGTGAAAAGTTGGCCTGAAGATGAAATCAGGCAGCAAAGCATGTTACGGTGACATCCATGGGAAGAAATTAAACTGCAGCACTTCCGTCCAATTAGATCATAAGATTTATAGGTTTATTTTTTTATTACTTTAATGCCACAACTCCGTGCAAATACAAAATTACATTTACAGATAGCGAGGTACCTGACCAGGAATGTGTAAACCCATAAGCATCCTCTTTTAATGTATCCATACCTGCAATGATGGAAGACTTCATAGTCTAAGGAGAGCGAAGACGCCAAGATCCAACTATTCTGGAGACTGTTTGCCATTGCACTGCCTCATGTCTGCTCTTGACCTACTATTGAACACCGCCACCCAGATGGTGTTCCCCCTAAGCTCCATTTAGGGCATGACTGACGTCCTCCCTAGTAGCACACACTCCATCTTTTCCCCTCCCTTCCCTCCCTTCCCCTATCCTCCTAATATATAGAGCTGTGTGATGTGCCAAAGGACTTGGGATGAAATCACCCTGCCAAAGAGCACAGGCAGGATGGAGACCTCACATTTCTCTACTGCAATTAATGAAACACAGTCACCTTGACCATGCAGGGCATATTGACAGTGTCTGTGCAAAGGTCATCTCCTGACCAACTTGTACTTGGCTGTGCTCCCTTACAGCTCCTTGCTACTTTGCATCCAACTCTGTAGTCGGCAGTGTCAGCAACCCCGAAGAGCAGTGACATCAACCCCCGCAGTCATGTGACAAAGTTTGGACCATATGATTAGCTGCTAGACCTGGTGTAGCCTGATAGCAGAGGGGCAAAGCAATATAACCTATTCTCTCAGAGGACTGACCTTCACCCAGTCTGAGTAATGTGTGCAGGGGATTAAAGGAAGCCAACATAGAGACAAATTCAGCTGCATTTACTAATTGTATTTAAAAATGCATTTTACCTGCATAGAATTCTGCTTTAAAAATAACGTGCACTCTATTAAAAAATTAAATTTATGTATGAAACTGGTACTGAGTCTGTGCAATAGGCACCACCCGTTCTCCAGCTGAGCTATTAATGCAGTTCATGGGCACTCCTAATTTCTGAGCCTGCTACCCTGCAGAACTGGAAGAAGAAAAATACAAGTAGTGACTATTTTATTAGGTATGCTCCTTGTTGTTATCCACACCCAGGAGAACCCCAATCTAATCATGCATGCCCCTTTCATTTGGAAAGACAGAATTTACACACCTGATTGTAGCTTTCTTTTCCTGATTAGTTTGTTTTCACAGGAAGAAAGAAAAACGGTGAATAAAAAATATAAAGTGACAACAAACAAACAAACAATGCTCAAATAAACAAAAAGGAAAACCTACAAAAATACTAAATTTAAAAAAAAAAGAAAAACATATATACATCAACCTTAAAAAAGAACACATTCTCTAAATATAAAAAAACATAAAAGTATATTTAAAAAAAAGCAGCTTTTACCTAAGCAGCTCAGCATAACTTAGAGAAATCACTCACCCCTATTGGTAATACAGATCTCCTGACTTGCACATTTGTTGCAGAGCAGTGACTCAGAAAATCTTGAAGCCAAAAGGTTAGCATTACAACAAGGCAGCTTTTCTGATTCTTTTATATACTGTAGCTGTTGATGGGCTGGTGTGCATGGGCTATTAGGATCAGTTAAGGCCATACTGTGCTTTGCTTTTCCTCCATGCAAGTTTGCAATATGTATGCAGTATTAATGCATGGTAGACACATCTCAAATTCCCATATTCCCAGGCCCTAAAAAAAATCCACCTACCCAGCCTTGTAACTGAGCAAAAAAAAAAAAAGGTCAATAATTTTTACACGTTAGGCGAGAAGGTCCTGGAGCAAAAGACAAAAAGAATAGGAGAAAGGACTGCATGACAGGGTGGGCAGGCATTCAGGGAGTAAGGGGTTAAGGTTAGTAAAGGTGAGTGGGGTGGTGGTCGCTTACCATCGATTGGACGGGTCAAGTCGCCCGGGAGGAGCATATGGGGTAGTCTGAGTGGGTGGTGGCTGGTCCAGTCAGTCTGGAGCTGGTACACGGTTAGTACAATTCCCACCCTCCCTCCCTTGTTTCAAGTTGGGGTTTTTCTATTTTGTTACTGTTTGTTGTGTTTCCTTTGTCTGTGTTGCCTAGGTCCTGTGAAGGTGGGTGTTGGTGAGTACGAATATGGATGGACTCGTCTGTGGTGCGTAGTCCTGGTGCTCTGGTGGGTTCATCAGAGAGGGGTCTAAGAAGTACCTTGTTTCTCCAAAAATAAGACCAACCCCGAAAATAAGACCTAGTACTATTTTTGGGAATTGCTAAAATGTAAGACCTACCCCGAAAATAAGACCTAGTTGTGACAATTCCCAGGGCCGGTGGTGGCATAAGGGGGAACTTGAAGAGCCGCGGGAGAGAATCAGCGGTGCCAATGAAGCCAGCGCTAGAGGAAGCGAGGCAGCAGCGGAGGGAGCAGAGTCGTATAAGCTGATGCCTCCTCTATAGGGCCGGTTCCTGTCACAGGCGGAGTGATACAAAATGCACTCCGCCTGTGAGGAATCTATAGTGAAAGCGCGCTTTGCCCATTCTAGCCAGCGATTGGTTACCAAATTGCTGTTGGAAAGGTATGGCACCCCTGATTGCCCTATTCACCATATTTTGGTACATGAATTCATGTAGACTGTTATACATGAATAAGTGTGGATTGTTGTACATTAAAAAAAAACAAAAAAATAAGACCTACCCCGAAAATAAGACCTTAGTGGGGTTTTTATGAGCCAAACAAAATGTAAGAGTGTCTTATTTTCGGGGAAACACGATATGTGTAGGTAGGTATCTGCTGTTACTTTCTATGTTGTCCCTGAGTCAGTGTGTTGCGGCTAGGGGCCAGTGGTTTTCAGGGGTAAGCAGAGATCTACTGTAGCTAAGTAAGGGGTGCCTTCACAGACCTCAGGCCAAACTACGTATAGGGATACAGTTGTTGTATATTGTCATATGTCATGGTTTAAGTGATAATATTTTATGAGATTTTGTAATAAACGGCTGCTACAGCCATTTTATATCCAATCCTGTTTGGTCTCTTATTTGGGGAAGTGAGAATTTTAGACGGGTTCCGAGGCTGTAGTCAGCTGTTCATGGTTGGGAAAGATGACTATGCCTTAACCTGTCATGCACAGAAAAAGCTTAAGGGTGAGGCTTTCACTTTCATTTCTTTGCTCTGCTGTAACAATGGCGTTTGCAGATGTGAGAAAGGATCTGCTGGACTGTTCTATCTGTCTGAACATTTATACGGATCCTGTAACTCTGAGATGTGGACACAACTTCTGCCAGGATTGCATTGATCAGGTGTTGGACAGACAGGAAGTATCTGGAGTTTATTCCTGTCCTGAATGCCGAGCAGAGTCTGTGGAGAGGCCTGTACTGGTAAGGAACATAACTCTGTGTAACATCGCGGAGAGTTTCCTCTTTACTCAGCCAGGTCAGGAGGATACTGGAATCTTCTGCACTTACTGTGTGGACTCATCTGTCGCTGCTGTTAAATCCTGTCTTCATTGTGAAGCTTCTATGTGTGATAAACACCTGAGAGCACACAGCAAGGCACTAGAACATGTCCTAACTGAACCCACCACCTCCATGGAAAATAAGAAATGCTCTGTCCATAAGAAGATCCTGGAGTATTTCTGCATCAAGGACTCTGTATGTATCTGTGTGTCTTGTAGGTTGGATGGAGATCACCAGGGACATCAAGTAGAGAAGCTGGGCGAGGCCTCTGAGAAGAAGAAAAAGAGACTGAGGAATGTTCTGCAGGAGCTGATCACCAAGAGAGATGAGACTGAGAAAAGAGTCAGGAGTCTTCAGGAACGTAGGGGTAAGATACCAGATATCGCAGTTGAGGTAAAAGAAAGAGTCTCTACCCACGTTAAAGACATCATAATACAGCTAGAAGACTTTAAGATGAGGGTCATAAGTGAGATCTCCAGGCAAGAAGAACAGAAATTACGTTCACTCTCTGATCTGATCCAGCAACTGGTTTTAAAGAATGATGAACTGTCCAGGAAGATTCAGCAAGTTGAGGTGCTGTGTAACATGACTGATCCTCTGACTGTCTTACAGAAATCAGACTCAGGTGACTTGTGTGATACCAAGGAGGAAGGTAATGAGAACAGAGAGACGAAAAGTAAACAACTCAACAGTAGAGGCAAACTAAATGGGACTGTGATCTCACAGACCTTACACACATTATTTGATAATGTAAGAATGATAGAAATAGGGATCTATTTTCAGAATTCAGAACGTGCAGACATATTACTGGATCCAAACACAGCTGGTAATGGTCTACAGATATCAGATGACATGAAAACAGCATCCTTCTCAAAGAACCAGAAGCACCCAGAAACACCAGAGAGGTTTCAGCAACCTCAGGTGTTAAGCAGCACAAGTTTTACCTCCGGACAACATTCCTGGGAAGTGGAGTTTAAAGAATCAACAAACTGGATAGTGGGAATGTGTTATGCCAGTATAAAGAGGAAAGCAAATCAGCACCAGATTGGAAATGATAACAAGTCTTGGAAACTGGATAGGTACACAAAGTATTTAGCAGTACATAATAAAAATGAAATCCAATTACCTGGCAATATAGCCAGTAATAGATTCAGGATCTCTCTGAATTATGAGGCTGGCCAGCTGTCATTTTATGAGCTGTGTGAGCCCATCAGACACCTCCACACCTTCACCGCCACCTTCACTGAGCCCCTTCATGTTGTGTTGGGGGTATGGAAAGGATCTGTGAGGATAACAGGGTTGGATGTGGAGCAGGGCCCATTGTATAAATAGGTACAATAGTCCCGTCTCCAGAGACACAAGTCAGTCATAAAAAGTTTTCCCTCTATTCTGCCTTCAGGAAAAAGCTAGTGCGCTGTCTTAATGGGTGGCTGAAGATTAAAGAAGAACTCCAGGAAATTATTTTATTGAGGGGTAGCCCAACTGCAAGGGTTACGTGCTTGTTTTGGTATAAGGAGGAAAATAAAGTTATACTCACCCCTTCCTCAGAGCCGGCCAGCTGTGACAGCGCACCCTCCAGCCTCTACCCTCCTACTCTGCAGCATTGGAATGTTCCTCAGCATCGTCACTTCTATGCAGTGTATAGAATGTGATGATTTACGGTACCTTAGACCACTGCAGCAGACGGGGAGAGAGACTGGAAGGAATGGTCTACGAGCAACCCAGCTCATAGAATCAGGTGAGTATAACTTTTTTTGTTTTTGAACCTAGACAAAAACTAACAGTTAGTCCTTGCAGTGCAAGGGGTAGGCCCACGGCAATGGTTAATAAAAGGATTTTTTCCTGGAGTTCTTCTCTAAAGAGCAATAAGCATTGTAGTGGCAACATACTCCTAGAGCTCAGGGGATCAGATTAAGAAGTCAAAATGCAGTGTGTTTTCAAGTGCTTCCGGTTTCATTGGCTGGCTTCTGAATTGCTTTAAATTAGGGTAGTAATACAATCAAACAACCTAACACTAACGGCTCCCCTTCCACAACTCCATGCTACCTATACCCCTTTGTACAAACCTCAGATCAGCCACTGATGTGGATCAGGAGCCATTGCCTATGCTGGGCTGGGCAGAGCTCCCATTCTCCTCCCAGCCAGTATGTGAAGTACAGAACAACATTTTCTCTATAGGGCCTAATAGAGAAGCCACCATACAGAGAAAAAGCTATGCGTGTGCAACACAGTACAGCCCTGGAGGTGGATAGGAGCACCTTCCTGCCTTTATGGTCTGTTTAAAGAGATATACATAGAATGGAGGTGGGGATAGAACTGTTGGTTGTTTTGAATGTGTTGTTATCCTTTAATTTCCTTTTGTGTTGCTCAATGCACATCTTCAGGGAATAGAACAAACCCTTCCCTATTTAACCCCCCATACCTAATCTGTGTTTTTCATATTTAAAAAAATATACCTAAAAGCCACAGTTATATACCTAAAACTCCAATCATGTGACAGACCAGGTCCCAAATCTTTTTTTCTTCTGGTCTGCAGTGCCCACATTGCTTTATGGTGATGTGGACGCTGCATGTGTGCTGTCGGAAAGGCCCTTTACAATGTCTTCACAGTGTTTTGCAGTCTTCCAGAGGACAGGAATGCATGTGGATGCAATGAGGTTGCAGGAGATTATTAGTGCTGAGATGGAGCAAAGGATTGAAAAAAAATTAGAAATTCTGTATCCTGTTTAAAAAAATGGCAATTGTTTTGATATTAATTATTTGGGTTCATTATGAGTTTACATGCTTAGCCCCTTTAATACAGGTGCCTGTGAGTTCTGATCTGCAGGGCATTCCTTGCACGCATCTCCTGCTGATCGGAGCAGTATGGAACAGATGTCACCGTTGTGACATCCGTGTCCATCCAGTTTTTTCCTTCATTTTATGGTGGAGGAGAAAATGGAACTTACCAGACCCATGTTAGGACTTTAGAGAGTTGGATGAAGTGGACATGGATCTGTGTACATCACGCTACTTCTGATCTGTCACAATCCCGTCCGACAAAAGGGAACTCTGTTCTGTTTGGTTTTCTGGACCTGGATGGAGTCAGGGATGTAAATGAACGCACATCTGTGGGTTTCCGATCAGATCTGCCTAAAAAACTGATAATATATAAATATACACAGAGTTTATTTTCTATTACATTGTAACAATGATCTGGACACCAGCAGACTTGGCAGAAATGTAGTATACTAATTAGTGAATTGCTGCATGTCCAAGCTTTCGTTTGTTTGTGATAGGCTCCATTTAATGAGCTTGAATTACTTTAGCGGAATGTGCAATCGTTGACAGTTGGCGACCTTGAACTGAGCCAACTTGATGGTTAGGTTCAAGCAAGAGCCAGCACTAGTAGCAGAAACCTTCATTGGAAGCCTAGAGGTTAACACTCTCTTAAAAGCCATATATTACGCTGTTGGAAGTGTTCCGGAAACAGAATGGATTAAGCCGAAAGGTCCCCATTTTTCCATCCTGCCTCCTCCTGCCGAGTTGCCCCCTCTGAGGTCGGTCAGTGCCCAGAACTCAGAGGCACCGGGCCCTGCAACCTTAGAAGAGACACGAATCCAATTGAAAGTGTGGTTACGCAGTGACTGTAAAATCAATGATACATTAAGCGCCTGTACAAGGAGTGAAAAAGGTTTGCAGCGTTTGAAGGTGTGGGCCACTTTAAAATAAGGCGCGCTATCGAGCTAAGGAAATGGCTTGATAATGGCAGCCTTTTCAAGGGGAAAGAATGGAATCGCCACAGGTTGAAGATTTAGCTGGAAAGTAGCAACAGGGAGTCCTTTTTATTATTGCATTTACTGTCTTGTGAAAAGTAAACATCTCTTTAGCACTGCAGAAGGGTGTCTATATAAATGTGTATCACTATTGGCTGGCCGGCGCTGTTAGAAACAAAGGAGATTGTTCAGAGTCGCTGACAGCTGGAAGACTATAAAGGTCAACGAATAATCAAAATAATTATCTATATTTTTTTTCACATGACGAAAATGTCAGAAACCCATTGAAAATTGATGTTCTGGTCCAGCTGGAAACTATTTTTTTTCCATTTTGTATAGATTGGGAAAGGATTGGAACCCCTATGAGGTTTTAGCTGCTCCCTGTGGGAACATTCACCCACTTTATTGTTCCTGGCCACTGTTATTACTGAAAGAGAAAGTGATGGGAAATGTAAGAATTTCGACCTGTCCCTAGAACAAAAGGTGAGGATAATACTTCCAATGAGGACACCTTTTCTGGTCACAACTGTCTGCGTTATAGGGTAGTGCTAGACTGACGAAAGACAAGAGGTTTGCATTTGGAAGTGGTGCTGCCTTGAGGAGGCCAACCAGTAAAGGAGGTATGATGTATGAGGACCTGTTTGTGGTCATGTATGTATGAGGACGGCTGTTATGTTTCAAGTAGCAGTCAGTGCACCGTTCATGTGATAATTCATTTGGAGTGTGGTATTAGGAACGTCTAGAAATAATGGTTACGTAGCTCATTTTTTAAATTATATTGATTATTGATAATTATTGATTAAGAATAGCCAAGGCATTTAGGAGGAAACAGCCTTCTCCTTCAAGGGTTAAACATCTGAGTTAGCAATATCCATCTCTACGAGGAGATACAGACTTCTCATTTTCATTTAGCTTCGAAACAGGCTACATAATGAATACCATCCGGATAAAATACAAGTCAGTCTTTTTTAAGCCTTGAAGAAGGGGGAGGCTATTTCTCCCAAAACGCATTGGGTATTCCTAATCAATAAACATTTTGTACCAGTCATCAAGTATTATTACTATGTGGTCCTAATCCAGACATCCCAACTCTCCCAGAAGCTCTGGGAGTCTCCCACTATAAGATAGTGGATCCCGGCCGCCCGGGAGAGAAACATTTTCTCCCGGAAAGGTTTACTCTACTCTATCTAGCAGAGTAAACCTTTTCCTGCAATGTTTTTTTTTTTTCTCTGACATCGGGGCCGCCGTCAGTCAGAGAAAAAAAACAGCATAGGAATGCATAGCAAGATTGCTATAGCCAATAGCAGACTGGCTATTGCACCCGCTCACTGCTGCTGTCAGTCAGCAGAGGGGGACCTGAAGTTCTCCATCAGGCCCACTTCTAGTGATTGACAGCAACAAAGGGCAGGTGCAATAGCCAGCTTGCTATTGGATATTGCAAATTTAAATAGCCAATAGCAATCTAGCTATTAATTTCTATGCTGTTTTTTTTTTTATTCTGACGGCAGCAGCTATCAAAATACAAAAAAAAAACCCAGCACATAGCAAGGAAGCTATTGCTTCCCGTACTATCTGCCATCATTTCAGGGGGTGCTCTCTTACCCCCTCCCGCAGATGTGGGGTGGGGGGCGGGCAGAGGGCACATCCATGAAATGGGAAGGGCACCTTCCTGAAATTGCTTTTTTCAGGTTGGAATTCCTGTCCTAATTCAACACTCAGAATGGATTAAGTGTCTAAGAAGAGGGGAGTTTGTAGAGTTTACCTCTCACTTCAAATAATAAACATGCATTGAAGTACCTTACACATATGAGCTACATTTTTGCTGATAGATATCACCCAGCTGTAGATCCTCAAATCATCTCTGAATTGGTGCTGACACTGTCCTTCCTTCTGGAGTGTGAGTACTTTTGTTCCCCATGGTCCTTGTGTGTGTTGTAAAGTAGCCACCGCTCCAAGCTCACTAAGTACCGATACCAGCTCTTTACATTTTTATGCTACCGTAAGGTCCTGTGCAGGCTGGGGACCACACAGCAGCCTTCCAGGGAGCTTGCAGCGGCTGTATACACACACACACACCCACTGCGCATCTCATCCTTCCTATTGAGCCATGCCGCCTGCCTCTGGACCTCTGGTGAGACGCCACACTCCACCTTAGAGCCTGCGAAGCACACCTAAGACCCAGTACAGCCCACCATAGACACTGCACAGCCCACATTATAGCTCGCACAGCCCACCATGGACCCCACACAGCCCACCTTAAAGCCTGCACAGCCTCTTGAGACCCTGCACAGCCTCCTGAGACACCGGACAGCCCACCTGAGACCCTGCACAGCCTCCTGAGACACCGGACAGCCCACCTGAGAACCCGCACAGCCTCCTGCAACACCGCACAGCCTACCTGAGTCCCTAGAGGCATCAGGCCACCACAGACCAACACAGAGTATTTAGCTTCATATTATTCTGCATTGCTGTATAATGTATTGCTGGGAATTGTAGTCCTCTATAGCTGGAGGTATTCTGCATTGCTGTATAATGTATTGCTGGGAATTGTAGTCCTCTATAGCTGGTGGTATTCTGCATTGCTAATAGCGCAGCTGTATCCAGTGACTGACAGGTTAGGAAAAATGTCTTAAACATGGAGGGCTGGGACGAATTTAGATTGGGGGGGCTTGAGTTTTTGCCTAGGGCAGCACAAACCCAAAATGCACCACTGCTTCCAACAGTGAAAAATACAAAAGCAACACCAGCAGTATACAATTTTCCACATGTATAGAAAAACTCTTCTTTCTTTCCTTTATTTTCTTCCAACAAGAATTACATTGTATAACAATGATTAACAAGAAGAGAGTTTCCTGAGATCCATCTCTGTCCTTTGCTTTGGGATTAGTCCAGTGTATCACAAGATGTGAGTTCCTAGTAAACACCGAGAGTGGATATATATCATCAGGCCGCTGTGTTCTTCAGAGATATGGTAGTGCTTCCAGCATACTCGACCAGGTTTAATACAGCCATCCCATATTTCTAAAAAAAGTCATTCCCCGAGAGTAGATCATTTTCTATAGCTCTGGAGCTGCATTGATTTACTTTTGTATATTAACGTGTAATTCACCTTTGCGGCTCAAAAGATAAATAACTAAATAAATAAACATGGATGCATAACATGTGATGATACATTGCATTAAAATGTTTTTCTCAATTCCCAAAACAGTCTTTCCTTCCATACCTTCAATTGATACATGATCAGATCTAGTTCTAGATGTAAAGGGACAGTATAGTGATTGCACAGTTTTTTTATTTATTTAAAAGAAATCAGCAGAATGTCAATCTTATCCAAGAATGATAACCCCTTTATAACCAGAGATCACTGAAGCCTTGATGGGCAGATCAAACTTAGAAACATTAGTCAGTTAACTTGACAATAACTCTGTAACTGATTTGTGTACTGATATAAATATTACATTGTGTTATAATGAGATATAAGGCTTTTATTTGTTACTATGTTGTAATAAATACCCTGCTCAGGTTTCTTTATTATAGGCTGACAAAAAAACAAATGTTAAATAAATGTATTTTTGGTTATTTTACACTTAGCAGTTTCAATCTCATTTTTAAAACTTCTTACATTCAAATATGTATGTTTATGCATTAAACATGCAGTTCAATAAGGCTCCGTTCACACCCAGGCATTTTGTCGCTCAAAAGTAAGCGGGATAAAACGCTCAAGACAAGGAATCTCATTCATGTCTATGGCACCTGTTCACCCCCTGAGCGTTTTGTCCCATGAAGTTTCCCATATAGCCCTCATTCACACCTTGGTGACATCAAATATACGCGTTTTCAGCACGTTTTGTGCACATTTGTACATGGGTTTTATGCGCGCACATAAAGCCGTGCGTTTTTGCGAGCCGATTGTGGGCATAAAAAGCGCTACAAAAAGCTTAGTGTGAATGAGGGTTGAAGTCTATCGGACCAAAAATCTCTGTTATCTGGCAAAATGTAGCTCATGTACTTTTTCCAGCGACAGGCGTTTTTCTGCTTGCAATAAAACGCTCAGGGGCCATAGAAATGAATGAGATTCTTTGTCTTGAGCGTTTTGTCGTGCTTACCTTTGAGCAACCAAATGCCTAGGTGTTACGGAGACCAAGAGAAGGAAGTCTGATAATAATGGACCTAGGTGAACTCCAGGTGGTTATAAAAGACACAAGATAATGCAGCTCTGTATATCTGTATAATGCTATTATTGTATCAGAGTAAATGTATTCTGCTTTACACTGACAATACTCTAACTCCTTCTGCTGAATTATCCTTGCATTTCTATGGTCCATTACCATGAAAAAATTGGACCACAAGGATCAGGGGATGCAGAGATTTATGAACAATTCTTGCCTGTGAAGCTACAGAGGAGGGTCAGACAGACTGGTGGTAGGGACAGAGGCTGATGTAATTAATCTCCTAAAATGCATCTAAAAGGCTACATGTTACCAGCAAGTGCCAGAGATATGATATTTTTATATTTATCTCTGTGGCTACATTGTTCCCTTTCCATCACCGGAGGGTGCATGGTTACTTTTAGACTTTAGGCCCCACTTTATCCACAATATCTTCTGAATATTCGCCCAAGCAAGCAGTGTAAGTACCGCAATTTGCCCTGGTATCAGCCTCTTGCAGCCCCTGTATAGTAGAGCTCAGACTAAGGAAGTTGAAGCAGCACAAGGAGCCAATTAGTTGTGTGGCTAGGAGAAGCGAGAGACAGAGATAAGCTCGTCAGTTTACTGCTTCTCCTTTCATTGTCTAGTCAAGGGCTGGGGGTGCCAGGAAGGGCTGTGCTGTGTAAATCTCATAACTGGATGGACAAACATACAAAGCCTTTAGCAGGCAAAACCGATCCCATATATTTATTTAATCTGTGTATTTAGATGTTTTCCTGGGATTCAGCTCTAAAAGATAACCCTGGAAGTACAATTGTAGAAGACAAAGAAAAAGTTGAACTTTTAAAACTTATTTTTGTAACTGTCCTTGGTGGCCTGGTGGCCGATGCCAAACTATATGGGGGAGAGAGATAACCCATGTCCTCCACTGCTAACTGCCCAGCGCTACTTGCCTAACACACGCCCTATGGCTAAAAAAAACTAAGATAGATAAAGCACCTGGTCCAGATGGTCCAGATGGCATCCATCCCGGAGTGCTAACAAAAAATATATCTCTGGATAAACCACTGTATCTTATATTCTCAGACTCTTTTAACTGGAACAGTCTCATGAGATTTGCATTTAGCAGATGTTGTACCATTACGTAAGATGGGTAAAGAGCTAAAATCAAGTAACTATAGTTCACTAAGCCTGACTTCTGTTGTGTGTAAGTATCTTGAGGAAGAACATACAAAAATATATACTATAGGAATGATTCAGCACGGATTTATTCAGTAGAGAGTGTATCTAACATGATCTTTTTTTATAATGAGGTAAGGTAAGTTTAAAATTGAATGTTAGTAATGATAATAAAATGATATATTTAGATTTTGCAAAACATTTGATACATTATTATAATGGATTTGTGCAAAGTTATGGATGGAAGGATTTAGTTAAAGGAGAACTATGGGGTCAGTGTTTTTCCCCATAGTTCTCCTTGGGGTAACGGGAGGACACAAACTAGCGTCCTCCC